ATAGCTATGACAGGAATATATAAGTAAAAAAAAAAAAAAAAAAGAAGAATAGGAAAAATCCTCATTATCTTGTGAACACAAGTTAATCACTGCAAATGTAACTTAGATTGAAAGTGAGATGTTGGTATCCGTTGGGATGAACAGTGATTCACAAGCACAGTATCAGTATAATTTATAGAAGAAAAAAATATATAAATAGCAATGATTCAAAAGAAGATTGTATCATATGTACAGGTATAAATACATATAGTAATGCCTATTTAACATTTAAATAGTATTGTGATTGATTGGATTGTATGACGCCATATAATGAAATGAAAAATTTATAAGCCAAGAGACCAGTGATAGCCAAAGAATATATATATATATATATATATATATATATATAAGAAAATGGCAGAGACGACAGACAAAAGAAAAGTAGGAAAAAAAAAAAAAGGAAACAGCAGGAAAAGACTGGTTGCAAACTTCCATAGGGAGAGACGTGGATAGTCAGTATGGAGGAGCTGCTTTATGAATATGGATACTGGCGTAATTTATGACATTTTTATATGGTTTACTGATGGATAATAAACTACTTTATGAATAGCATATATGTAGAATGAAAAATAAATACTGCATGGTCTAAGTTGTAAGTTTTACATGTTATAGAGAAGTATTTGTTGAGAAAATGTTTGCGAGCTTAGCCATTGTTCTTTAATTATAATGGTATTATAGTGAATACAAATTTAAGAAGCACAGGTAGTTAAAAGAAAAAAAAACAAAAGGACAATTGATTGTTGTTAAATGTATGAGCATTAAAGTTTTGAAAAGTGTACATGGGTATACTAGATTTAAGTCGAAAGGATCCTATTGAACCTATAACTGTTTTAAGAGACCTTTATATCCAATTCAAATAAAATGAGAGAGAATATAAGTTGTGGAAGTAAGGCTATATCTGTCAATTTAATATATAAGAAAAGTTACTAGAGGATATAAATGAAAGTTAAGATATAAGAATGTTAAATATTGTTAAGGATTACAGTTTACAGTTATAAATTACTGTTGTAGATGGTTTTGCCAATTTTATTAATTTCTAGTTAACCTTTGTTAAATCTTGAGATATTGTATCTATTAAGATTTTAATTAAATAAAAAAAAAAAAAGAATAATCGAAGCGTATAATGATAAATTAACGAGCATGTAAGAATTGTTGGGATACATGTTGACTCAATTGACTTGAATATGAGATTGGATGTGTTGTATTTAGACCATTGTAGCTTTTGACATAATTGTTGAGTTGAAGTAAAATAAAAGTGTTAACTAAGGCTTTTAATAGTGAACTCATCAACATATAAGAATTGATGTTGTCACTTGCATAGCATACGAGAACGGATGTATTAAATAAGTGAGGGCGTTTTAATGTTGAATTGTACAAAATTACAGGTGTAGAGATATTGGAAGTTTATAATAATAACGGTGATGTTGTTTTCAAATATTTGGTTGATATTCATCAGATAAATAAGATTGAATTAAATTTAAAGCGTTGTCTTTGAATACGACGGAAGTTAAAATTTTTATAAGTAATGATCAACGCAATCAAATGCTGGGCATTTGATTCCATAGATTAGTCTGAGCACCTATGTGCACTTGTATGTGTGGCTCAACGCCCTTTGGAGAAATCGGATTGACTATTGTACTAACTAAATAGTTTAAATTGAAATTAATCCTTTCAGAACTGATTTTATGTGTCTGGAATTTAAATATAACTAATGGCTTGATAACATGGTCTGCTAGTAAGCAGAAAGTTACAGCCGAATACGCAGAATATTTTAGAAAATGTGTTGTAATTAATGGGAAATTAGAAGAGGTGCTAATTTATAGAACCCAGACACCGTATACAGACACTTTAGAAATATTATGAATAAAGCGCTCGAGGTGTACAAGATAGTTACACTGCAAGATTGTAGTAAGGACGATCACAAGGTAAAATTTGATACACCTCGATGGAAAATAGTCGGTAAATATACGCGGTGAAGAGTTGTACATGAACGAATAGATCTGAAAGATTAAGGAATGCTAGTGATACAATGATGAGTTACAATCGATGACAAGCTGAATTATGAGCAAAATGGCTAATAGAACGGGCGGTTGATATGACAATGAAAAATGATTTGCAATACTTCGATGAAATTATGAGATTAATATAATAATCATATGACTATGAATACGGTTTATGGATTTTAAGGTAAATGATGGTGATTTAGATTTGATGATATACTGATGAGATGATTGCGCTGAGATCGCGGCTGATGGTTCCGTATACGTTAGTTCACGGAGAAAATGGGGATCCGCGTATGCTCAATGCGACGTACAACGAACGACTCGCTTTTTGTTGATGCTACTTAAGATTTGGTAGATAATAATAGGAGTAGGGTACGTGGTAGTAATATATTGCAAGTTCGTTCAGAAATTGATAGATATATATCAACCAGATATATAATTCGAATTTGGTACATAATTAAATTGAATTAACTTATGATTAAATGTTATAAAGTCCTTTAAAGCGTTGGAGAAATAGTAAAATGGAACCAGGAAATCCAGTTCTTAAAGAAATGTAATAGAATAAAAAGTAATAGTAAAATTTGATGGGAGTGCATATAACCCATAGTTGAGTTGCAATGTAGAGCACTTGAGGCTGAAGTAAAAATAGCATAGTACCATAAAGAATATGACTAGTTGGAGGCCGTAACTCCTTGCGTGCGCAAGCGGTGAATGCCTCATTGAGAAAATGATCAGTTGTTAAATATTTGATGTGTTTCAGTTGGAGGCCGTAGTTCCTTGTGGCGGCAAGCGGTGGCTGAGTCTAATGAGAATCTGACCAGTTTGAGGCCGTAACTCCTTGTGTGGGCAAGCGGTGGCTGAGTCTAATGAGAATTTGACCAGTTTGAGGCCGTAGCTCCTTGTGCGGGCAAGCGGTGGCTGAGTCTAATAAAATCCAGATCTGTTGAGACCGTAGCCATAGTGGGCAAGCGGTGGCATTTTTTTAATGTTTTGTTTTAACAGGTATTTCACTAATTAGCTAGGCAGCCGTGTTTGCAGAGATGCTGACTAGTACCTGGTGTGAAAAATTAAGTGATACAACTTAAGGCGGAAAAATATAACAAAAACTGAATTCATGATGTTGAAATGTAATGTGTAGTTGTCAGTGGCAACTTTCATATTTTAAGTATGTAAATTATCTCAAACTAAATTTTATATGATTTTAATTTTATTATATTACCCGATGTTAACTGTTATGATAATATCGAATGAGGCCCTTCGATAACGTTGGATGGCCGAAGTGGCTACGAATACCATCGATTAAATATAAAGTGAATAGTAGGCTTACTAAACTCACGTTCGTTTAACGAAAGTTGGTAATTCGTTTTATGGAGATTGCGCAGGGTTTTGCAACGGACTCCCGGAGTCTGTACTCAATTTGCCAGAAAAAGAAATCAAATGTGTCATAAAATATTTTCTTTGTAAAAAAAAAAAGGCTTATTATAAAATTGAAGAATTTATAAAGGTCATCATTTATAAATCAGCGTATTTTTAGAAAATATCTAACTTGAAATTCATAGCGCTGTCAATGTTGTTTGATTAAATATAAGTAAATCAATATTTATTTAAAGGAGCAATACACAGGTTTCTTGTTTATTCTTCTTGTGATGAAACTGCGTTCCGAATGAGCGATAGATTAAAAAAACTTGACTACTCAAGGGTGCTTGTGTTGAGTTTATTTGAATAAAGATTATTTCTATTTCACATTAATCTGGAACAGTGGGTTTTGGTTTATGTTAAACTGGTGTTGTAAAGAAAATTTGGATCAGTATCTACAATCATTTATAGTCCCCTAAATGTACAGGGTTCAAAGGGTGCAATAGATTACTTGACCAGTGACCTGATGGTATTATTAAGTAAATCATAACAGAAATTCAATGAATTATGTTATATTAAAATAATTCTCTGGTAAATCAAGAGTATCGTCGAAGTAAAATAGTAGTAGTAGTATTGAGGGTATTAGAACCACTTGAATAATATTGACCTGTTATTTTCTATTGGTTAGGTGAAGGCAGACAGCGATTTTGTTCTAATTTTATGTCACGAGAATATTACTTTCCCTTTATATTTTTTTTTCTCTATATATGTAGGTAATTAAGTTTTACCTTTTGTAATGTGATATGTTAAACTTATCTGTTAAAATATTCATGCGAGAAATGTAAAGTTCTATTTTGGAGGTATAAAAAAAAATGCAATGTTCATAAGATCGGAAACTTACATTGTGATGGTGATATGTTACAGTCTGACTCATAGAAGTCAATCACCGCCAAATAATTGTTTGTTACTCTAAAAGGTTGTTCATGTTTTTGGGTGATTTGGATTATGTAAATTAATATATGTTATGCTATATTTTGTACATTTCTGAATGCATGCCGAAACTTAGCTCTGTTAGTATTGATTTTAGATTGTAAACCTTTGACAGTATACTAAGATAGTCAATGTTATGAAAGTAATGTATATCTTTAGTTTATTTAATTTAGTATTTGTTATATGATCCTGTAGACACTATATCCTTTGATAAGCATGACTACGCTCATCAGTTACCTATGTGTCTGGGCCAGACACTATTGCAGGATGGCCGACTGTTAACTATCGTGTGACGCACCATTAATTAAAAATGGTAAAGTCAATAATCATGTAACCTGAAACGGAACGTCAGAGGCCAGAGCTAAAGTAATCTATGTGACATTGACAAGTGGATGACGGATGATTGAACGTACGCAGCGGGAGTTTTGGAGCGAAAAAGTTGGAGTGTTTATATTATTATAAAAACAAATAAGAGATAGGTAATTGTGAATATTGTAGGATTGAGGTGTTTCTCTCCCTGACTAACCGGTATTACGCCTAAGTCGTCAGGATACTAGTGATTTTAAAAATAGTTTCGGTACAACCCGTACATATTTCTTTCTTACATTTCAGTCAATGCTGCTATTAGCAACAACAGCTGGTTCCTTCATTGTGGCAGCCATTTTGTGGGTCCTTATAGAAGCGCCCATCAATGGCATCACGAAGATATTCATGCAACCGCAAACAACAAAACCACCATCAACTCAGTCAACACAACAAAATGGACAGTTGTAAATAAATTTGTTGTTACGAAATGATTTTTATTGTTCAATCTCTTATGGCATCATAAAAATATTCGTGCAACCGCAAACAACAAAACCACCGCCAACTCAGTCAACACAACAAAATGGACAGTTGTAATAAAATTTGTTGTTACGAAATGTTTTTTTATTGTTCAATCTCTTATGGCATCACGAAAATATTCATGCAATTGCAAACAACAAAACCATCATCAAATCAGTCAACACAACAAAATGGACAGTTGTAATAAAATTGGTTGTTACGAAATGTTTTTTTATTGTTCAATCTCTTATGGCATCACGAAGATATTCAAGCAATTGCAAACAACAAAACCACCATCAACTCAGTCAACACAACAAAACGGATAGTTGTAAATAAATGTATTGTTACGAAATGTTTTTTATTGTTCAATCTCTTATGGCATCATGAAAATATTCGTGCAACCGCAAACAACAAAACCATTGCCAAGTCAGTCAATACAACACAACGGATAGTTGTAAATAAATTTGTTGTTACAAAATGTTTTTTATTGTTCAATCTCTTATGGCATCACGAAGATATTCAAGCAATTGCAAACAACAAAACCATTGCCAAGTCAGTCAATACAACACAACGAATAGTTGTAAATAAATTTGTTGTTACGAAATGTTTTTTATTGTTCAATCTCTTATGGCATCACGAAGATATTCAAGCAATTGCAAACAACAAAACCATTGCCAAGTCAGTCAATACAACACAACGAATAGTTGTAAATAAATTTGTTGTTACGAAATGTTTTTTATTGTTCAATCTCTTATGGCATCACGAAGATATTCATGCACCCGCAAACAACAAAACCACCGTCAACTCAGTCAACACAACAAAACGGATAGTAACATGTTTTTTATTGTTCAATCTCTTATAGAGCTAAGCTAGGACATAAAGTCAGGCACATTGCAGCCCTGAGAAGGCGGGCGCGTGTACCCTCGCTACTTCTCCTGCAGAACAGTAGTGGTCCCTTTATTAAGATGAATCCCCGCCGTCGGAACTGCGGATGAATGGACCCGTAGCTCAGGCAATAACCGGTAGAGGTCCACCTTGGGGATTCAGTCGTTAGTATGTCCGCGAATCTACTGAACTGATTGCAAATTCGATTTGCACATTGTGTGCAATTTAATCCAACTTAAAGATAGGATAACTTACATGTCAATTTATAGTCGCAATATTATTTTATTCAAGAACCTTAGCTACAGCAACGCGTGGCCGGGTATACTATAAATTTCAACGGGTAAAACCGCGAGCACAGCTAGTCTATACATATAAATAAAATTAGAGAGTCCGTTTGTAATATTGTAATAATCGTTTTTTACTACATACATATGAATATAAATACGATACATACACCAAAATAATATTTTTTACAATTTTTGTCTATCTGTCTGTCTGTTTGATCTGGCTAATTTCTGAAATGGCTGTACCGATTTTCACGAGACTTTTATTGCAGGTAGCTGATGTAATAAGGATTAACTTAGGCTACTTTTATTTTAGAAAAATAAATTCCACGCGTACGAAGTCGCAGGAACAGCTAGTAATAGATAAATTTCAAATCTATCTCATCTTTTTATAAATCATATACTATATTTTAATTCGTCAGCCTACACGAACCTGAAACGCTAGACACGTACTGTTTCCTAATAATAAACACACATTTGAAGGTTAAACAGAAATTAGCTAAAATATATAATATTTAAAAAATATATGAATATTAATATTCAACAGAACATAGTGTAGGTACAACGCGGGCGGATGTACTTGAGTTACACTTTATAAGTGGTTACCATCTCATTGTACTCTCGTCTGCAGTGCAAGGTGGTAGGTATGGTGTCGCGTGTGATATTCCTATTATTCCTCCTGAAGAGTTGTTCTGCTGTGATATATAGCGTAAATGGTGAGTACACTATCGTAATTCTTACATCACAAGCGATTGAAAAAGTCTGTGGAAAATATAGCGTAAATAATGAGTACCTACGCTATTGTAAATCTTATATCACAAGCGTCTGAAAAAGATTTTGGAAAATATAGTGTAAATGATGAATATACTATCGTAATTCTTATATGACAAGTGTTTGAAAAAATCTGTGGAAAATATAGAGTAAATGATGAGTACACTATTGTAATTCTTATATCACAAGCGTTTGAAAAAGACTTCGGAAAATATAGCGTACATGTTGAGTACACTATTGTAATTCTTATATCATAAGCCTTTGATAAAGACTTTGGAAAATATAGAGTAAATGATGAATACACTATCGAATTCTTATATCACAAGCGTTTGAAAAATCTGTGGAAAATATAGCGTAAATGATGAATATACTATCGTAATTCTTATATCCCAAGCGTTTGAAAAGACTTTGGAAAATATAGCGTAAATAGTGAGTAAACTATCGTAATTCTTACTTCACAAGCGTTTGAAAAACACTGTAAAATATAGCGTACATAGTGAGTACTGACACGTTTTAAAAATGCGGTGGAAAATCTCCCTTCGAAAATTAAACCAAGCAGTTATTAATATTGTTGCTACCTGCTTGATTTGCTTATTTTTAAACTTTCACCTTTAATACGCATTGGTAATATAGTTTAATGGGTTTTAATATTATTAATTTTATGGTAAATAAAAGTATTTACCTCTCGTTTCGACTAAGTTACACTAGCCGTGGTCATGAGCTGACTAATTCAGCTCGGACCTCAGAAAGTCAGCTTGTGAGCAGTGCAAGTGTATCATATCACACAACCACAGCTTAGAAAACTGGTTGGTTTGCGTATTTGTAAACTTTCGCGTTTAATACACATTATTAATATATTTCAACGGGTTTTAACACGAATAATTTTTGGTGCATTAGCTATCGTCACGAGGTGAGTCAGTCATATCGTGACCACGGCTAGTGCAACCTAGTCGAAACGTCAAGAGTTAAACCTTTATTTACCATAAAATTACTCGTGTTAAAACCTATTTAACTATGTTAATAACGTAAAGCAAATCCAAAATATTAAAAATAAGCAAACCAACCATCTTTGTAAGCTGTGTATCAATTGTAGACTGCAGATTAAGCAGTGAAATTATAGGATAAGAGGCATGGCATCTTAGTACTCTGGAATGACAACGCAAGAGTGGTATTACGAGTGTAACATGATTACGTGATATCCGTAGTGCTGTTCATGTATATAGGCTACGATTACCATTCACCACTAGGTGGGCCGTCAGTTTCGTTGTCAGTTTAGTGTGTTTACTTATACTAAACAACCGATAGAAATACTTAAACTGTTTTTTTACAAATACATAATACATAAAGAAAAGACCAATAAAAACAATCCTAAACGTAAACACAAATGTTTGTATCATGCGAGGAATCAAACCCAGGACTATCGGAAATAAGGAGGTGTGCTAAACCTCTAACCAACTGATACTATACCATTAACATCGAAATAGCAGGAAACACGTCTTCTAAACCAGAAATAGTAATCGTAATAACGAAAGCAAGTTAGTCATGAGACTTACTACGGAGTTCAGTCCATATTTTTGTCAATCTTCAATATCATCATATTAAATACAAAATTATTGAATTTCTGTACCCTCTTTATTTAATATTTAATTCTATAGAAATTGAACACATTAATCTCACTAGAAATATATGTCAATGCATTTGAATATAAGGAAAAAAAATAATCAATGAGCATTAAGACCATTTGAAAAAAAAAACAATCAAAAAGACAAAAACAGTCTCTTATTCCTTCGTATACAGAGAAAACATTAACAGTTGAATTAAATGTAATATTATAAAAAGAAAGAGTGAATTTTGTTCCTTCCCTATTAGTGACCAAATTCCTGTGACAAGACTAGAGCGAGTCGTATGACTTGGAAGCTATATCCGAACTCTGTTCTTTGCCTGAGGATGCCTATTCACCCATAGGGAAAGTCATAACGCTTCCAGTAGCGGTCGTCAGGTTTCTGCATTAAATATATGGAGTCTAACACATGCTAATAGTAGAGGAATTAAACACAATAATATGAATGCATTAATTAAAGACTTACGCAAACATACACCTAATTCGATAAAACAGAACATATACTTGCTATATTCGTTTGAGCTAATAGGAATAAGGTTGGATCATCAGATAAGGAATAAAACGGACAACGCAAACGCAAAAAGAATCATGTAGGTTGTTGCTTACGTACTGGCATACTTTTATAGTTCATATATTATATTTTTCTAAAGAATTTTATTATATTATATATTTTTGTATACAGAACATTTTAATATTAAATAAAGATTGTGACAGTCAAATAAAGATTCTATCCGTTCCAAGCCTAATACTGTACGAATACGAAATATAAGAGCCCACGAAACTGGACTATTCGCATGCGGTGATGAGACTATAAAAGTGGATGAATTTTAAACGAGCTGGTTAGGATTCCATGGATTAACCGTGCGGGTTCCGGGTCCATTGTGTGACAGAGAGGGAAACTCCGAGCAGTTCCCAGGACTTGTGAGATAGGTTTGAGGGATAGGTTCCCAAGTGTAGGTTTAATAGACCTCTTGCAAACGTACATCAATACTCACTTTCACCGCCTGTGTTTCATTCTCTGCCTAACCAAATCTGGTAGGAGCTTGCCAGTGCAACTTTAGACACACGTTCTAATATAAAACATACTGCAGTACTAGAGAGGCTATGATCTTTTTATTCCTCTTCCTAGTGTACCTTCCTTCGCTAGTATTCCCACTTCGACCATATATAAATTAACCATGGCTATTATTCGTTAATTTGTTTATTATTTCTTAATATTTACCAATAACTATCAAAATCGACCTCTGAAACTCTTCTAATGCTGTTTACATAGATATTACCAAGATAATTTTTATATCAATCTAAATTTAATGTTTTAATATTGAACACAAATTATTTTAGTAGTCTTGAAGTATTTTTTTCGTTAAATATCGTCACGTTAAACGTTCAAACACGTACTTTTTAAACGTTTACCTTGAACTGAAAGATCATCGCTGTTGTATTCTATTGTCATCAAACTTACGTAAATAGTGTGAAAAAATAACATGGTTAATAGATGAAAACATACATATACATATTCTCACAAGTCTAATCGTAGTTGTGGTAGGCAGAAGCATTATCAAACGATATAATCTTAATATAATGCTCAACATGACCTAATTTTGCTTAGACTATTCAAATCCAACGAAACAGGAGAGTCTATACCTGTATAGATTAATTTGGTTTGTTAACAATGTTAGTCTAATATTCGAGTAAAGCTAGTGATTTAGTTTTAGCTTAGTGGCCGTGATTCTCACTAAATGTGAGAATCTTTATCTACAATTATTTTTATCATCTTCAAAAGACCGTTCCTACGCTCGTGAGCGACGTTGGGGTGTGTGTGATTCTTACCCACAGGGTGTACCTACGAGCGCCATAAGTATATTAAGTTTTAATTTTTTTGTGTATTTTTTATTTAGAGAGCGAGTATGACAAATTCCCACCACTGTACGGTCTGGACGACTACGAAGCATGTATGCTGGACCCGGATGCTGTGTACTGCGTGGGAGACTACGATCTCTATTCTGATGGGAAATCCGAACTGATGAGAATTCTACAGGTACTATATTTCTTATTGTATTATTATATATTTTGTTGTGCTGATATTTTTTTGAAATATGTAGAAAAATGATCAACATTTTATAGTATTTTAAGTAATATTTTATATTTTAAGAATTCAAGTTCACTTAATACCAATCTTGACAACACACGAAGAATAGTACATATATGTATTGCTAAGAGTTTCTTTATGCATCTTCTTTACTATGCGTTTTAACTATCACTTAAACTTCAACCACAAAAAGGTCAGCTCATATCGAGTTTAAATTTATTAAAGTGCATTTGCTTATAGGAATACTCAGAGCATACACTCAAACATTTCAATCATACACAACTACACCGTGGTGTATGTGTTACGAGAACATGCAAGAATTTTTTGAAGAACAGATCACTGGGTAACGAAGCGGACCTAGAATCGATCCTTTCGGCATGCCTCAACGAAAGTGTTTGGAACGATTACGAACTTCAGGCAAAACTTAACAATATACAATACTGCAAAAGAGCTGGAGACAAAATTAAATTAGACATTACAGATGCTATAATAGCAGCAATATATTTGATTATAATAGCGCTGAACATCATTGGTAGCTTGTATGATTCTAAGGTTAAAAACAAAGAAGGCAAAGGTATTATGATTTTTATTAATATGTTATAAAATATACTCTTTTAAATTTTACGTGATCATTATTAATGCGTATAATTAAGAAAATAACAAGATGTAACCACGGAATATTTGCATCGACGCTACTGTTCACATTGTCCGTGAGCATGACGGTTGTAAGACTGCCGAAATAGCGGAAACTGAATAAGAATAAACGAAACGTGGTTATATCCCGTGATTTTCTTAATTACAATTATTAATATTATAAATGCAAAAGTTCGTAAGTATGGATAAATAGATGGAAGAATGGCTGTTTGATAATCTTTGACGCAAAAACTACTGAACCGGTTTTATCAGACTTTACAGTAGCTTATCCATCAGAATAACACATATAAACTTCGTCCGGGTGGTTGTTGTGTATTATAAAATATTCATCAAAAATGATAACTTTCAGGTAATCCATTTTTATTAGCATTTTCTGTGCGTAAGAATTGGAAGAAATTGATAGCTTCAAGCGATAGAGGAATGGACCCCAGACTCGACAGGCTCAAACTCTTCAATGCACTGAGGTGAGTTTATATTGACATGTTATAATATAATGAAATTAATTCTGAAATCATTTTATAAACAAAAATCAATAAAAAACAAGCACAAATTGCTATGGAATTCAGTGTTTTGCTACTTGAGTGATTCTCCGCACTGAGCTAAGAGCTATTTTGTATTGCTGTAGCACATACATGCAGGTGTACCTATATACGTATTGGTTTCAAGAATTAATAATATATACTGCTTCTAAGTAAACCAATATATATGTAATAAAGATACAAATAAACTTCTTGTATATATATCAGATATAATTAACCAATTTGTTAACAAAATAGTATACGCATATTTTTCCCCTCTTCAAATTTGAAGGAATAATGGAAAAGTCTATCGACTTATTTTAAAAGCAATATTTAAAAAATGTCTACCACTAATTCAACTTTAACAAGTTACATTTTCAATCAATAAAGGTCCATCTTCTATTTATTTAATTTCAATACCCTTAAAGATTCTTGTTGACACTACATTTTTAACTAGGTATGTTGTACATGTTTCTACATTTCCTTTTCTATCAATATATTCAATGATTTTTAATGATTGCAAGTCTGTTTTTTTTGACAATATAAAAATATAAATATACTACCTATAAAAATAAATATTGCTATTGAAAAATAGGGGTTGGTAATAGACGGGTGAAAATTTTGGGTTGTATCTATTTCTTAATGCCACCCTTAACACTTAGAGGTATAAAAATTAGTTATGAATCTATTCTCAGACCTACTGAATATACATAAAAATTCATCAAAATCGGTCAAGCCGATTTGGAGGAGTATAAACTCGTAACCTGACATGAGAATTTTATATATTAGATACATCAATTTACTCGTTTAAAAATTTTAAACTATTACGTTGTTTTTCATTTCTAGAGCGCTGACTATGGTGCTGGTTTTTTTTTCACACGCGAGTCTTGCAATGTCCTATTCGTACATATCAAATCCGCTTTTTGTTGAAAAGGTGAGTACTTTATAGTTATTTGGTTGTTTATATTTTTTGTCGCTCTCTGTGATTTAGTGGTTTAGGACACCGCCTCAGTTCCGATGGTCGCGGGTTCGATTCCTCACACGGCACAAACATTTGTATTCATGAGCATGATTGTTTGTATCGGTCTACGTCTTTCCTATGAACTGTGTGAACTGTCACACAGTTTACACAGCACCATTATTATTATTATTTATATTTAAAATTGAGATTTCTTTTATAGTTTTTTTGTATTAAATTTCTTCCATAAATATTTGTATTCCATTATATTCTACAAATTTTAAGAAATTACCTAACATTTGTTGTTCATTAATTTACATAAGTACCGTTTAGCAACAATTTTATGTTAACATTTCTAAGTTCTGATATTTAGTCTCTTGAGATGACCGATTATTTAATATTAAGAATACGTTTACAATTAGTTTTTCTTTATATTTACGTGTCGCCTACACTATGTAATGATTACTTTGTATTTCAGGCATATGAGGATCCAATGAAGCACTTGTTGTTCAACGGTACTCTAGTGACCCAATCCTTTTTCGTGATGTCCGCGTTTCTGCTGGCATATAACCTTCAAATTTACAGCGAGAAACATCCAATCACATGGGTCCAGTTTCCAAAAGGAATATTGTTAAGATATCTCAGGTAATAAATGTTTTTGTTTTATCATGTGGAAGAATCTGCAGAAGACCGTCCACTCACTAGAGGGGCAAGACGAGAGGGTGTGTTTACCTTGGGACTAGATGACATTGTGTGAATTGTCTATGGGTATAATTATTATTCAGGGCCCTCAACTTGTTTGTAATGTAATGTAATGACGATCTCGGTAGTCCAGCAGTCTAGTGAATCCCTTTACGACCGATGGTCGCGGGTTCGATTCCTCGCACGGCACAAATATTTGTATTCATGAGTATGATTGTTTGTATCTGTCTGGGTGTTTTCTATGTATAATATGTATGTATTTACAAAAAAAAACAAAAAATATCTAGGTATGTATGTATATGTATCAGTTATAAAGTACCCATAACACAAGCTTTAGCTAGCTTAACTTGGGTCTAGATGGCGCTGTGTGAATTGTCCTGAGATTATTATATTATTATTATTATGTAATGGACTCCAGATAAGTTGGACTCCATTCTCCGCAATTAACCTCTCATTTGGGCCGTTGTGCGTGTAGAGCCAGACTAACAAAGTAGCCAGCCAAGCTCCTCCTAAAAGCGCAGAGGTCTCCTAGTGTCTTCACAGGCTTCACAGAGCGACCTCACCGTTCCGAGGATTTGTTTTCGTTGTGTGGTCACTGCTTCTCCTTTTCTTTCTTCATCCATTCCATCCATCCAATTCTTCATCCAAGATTACGTGAGCAGCCATTTCTTCGGCTTCAAAGCAGCCCCGACAAAGAGGACTGTCGACTATGTGTATAGGTGTTTGTTTAAGGGACAGTGGCCCGTGATTGTTTAACATTCCAATTTAAAATGCTTGCAATATTTTCGTATCTCTAATTCAAAAGTCTCCGGAACAAAGAGACTCCAACATTTGACGACACAAGTGAAGTAGCAGCTTAGTGGCGGTATTGTAAAATTAAAATTACTAGAACAAAATCGTTGCACATTTAATCGCTGTAGGTAGATATAAGCGACTAGCTGTGCCTGCGACTTCGTCCGCATGGATCAGTGATCTTGACAAAATATAGAGAAAAATGTAATAATCGAACCCAATGTAGGATACAAAAAGTTTCCTCGTTATAGCTTCAAAAATGACGATTTTCTATACAAACTGTCATCCCCTTAATGATAACAATTTTACAAACTCAGTCATATTTATTTATATTTAATGAACAGCCTAAAAATAAGTTTCAACTTTCTAGTTTTAAAAATGACGACCCTTTCAACCCCTTACTACCCTTTATACGCATTAAAAAGTATCCTTATACGCATTATTCAGGGTCCAGACTATCTGTGTACCAAATTTCATTAAAATTGGTTCAGTAGTTTTGGCATGAAAGCGAGACAGACAGACAGACAGAATTACTTTCGCATTTATAATATTAGTAAAGAAGTAAGGATAAGAACGGCGACGTATAGGCGCTCCTAAGACTAACTGACTAACTGACAGGAATGAGTGCTGATGAGATGAGGTAGGGGGCAAACGGACCTCGGACCTGTCGTCGAACTGTTAGGAGGCTGACCCCGTTTGGTTTTTTAAAAAAAACCTTTTTAAAACACAACACAAAAGTCACTTGATTTCAGATAGTTTATTTCGAAAATGTGGTTTCACAAGTTATTATATTAACAAACTTATCCCAAACCATGTAGGTGCAAGTGAAATGAGTTATCGACGCGGACTGGTTTGACTAACTGTCTAAATTGTTTTTATATAACGATGTAAATCGGGAATTATTCAGGCTCAGCATTTTCTTTGTACTGGGCTCGGGCATAACAGAACGACGCAATACAATAGACAATAAAGTACTTGTTTAACAAACGCAATAGTTATAATATTTGTATGTTTACCTATTTTAAGAAACTATGCTACAAGTTAAAAAAATGTTTCATTGTTTGACAGATTGACTCCTATTTACGCCTTGTTGTTGGGAACAGTAGCAACACTGATGCGGTACTTAGGCGATGGTCCAATGTGGCAACATATGGTCACCAGCGAGTCGATCGTCTGCAGACAGTACTTTTGGGCGCACATCCTGTACTTCAACAACTATATATACGATGACGCGGTGTGTTCACCACAGACTTGGTAAGAATTCATTTATTCTTTACTATCTGTGCCCGCGACTTCGTCGAAGGCGAAGGTTTATATATATAATACATGTACACCCGGACGAAGTCGGGGCGAGTAGCTAGTTATATTACATGTGTAATAGTAGTAATATAATCTTGTAACTCAAAGCATGCTGTGGGTACCTTAAATATGAGAACAGTTAGTATCATCATCTGCTTCTTCCATATCCCTTTTATTTGGGCGTCGGCGTAATATGTTTTTCTCTTCCATTCATCTCTGTTCGCAGTTTTCTGGACTTGCTTCTTACGTTCCACCCGCCCGTTATGGTACAAGTATAAGACCATTAATTTCTATTTTATTAGAATCACGACATATTTTTATTGCAGTATCTTGTGTTGGTAATCCTTAAAAATAAATTATAATCAGGTACTTGGCGTCGGACACGCAGATGTTCTGCGTAGGTCTGCTGGTCTGTGTGATGGCTCGGACTCCACGGTCAAGGAAGATAGTGCTGTCACTGCTGTTAATAATCTCACTCCTCATCGTTGCTGGGCATACGTATTATCAACATTTGGACGCTGTCGTACTGCAAACACCCGAGTAAGTCATCAACCATTTCAATTCTTTATTCATGCGAAATTGGTTACACTTGATCTTAGCTGATCTGTAGAAGACCTACAATGAAGCTAGGTTAACTAAAATATGCCTATGTACCATCTGTTTGAAAAATAGAATAAAATAGAAAATCCTGTATTCAAACAAACTTAAATTTAAGCACTTTTTAATAGTCATATTATTTTTTTGCTTATTTAAAATGTATAATCACAAGAAGAACAAGCAACGAACTTGCATGTTGTTGTTAAATAATTATTGTAAGTACATTTTTAAGTTCAAATTTGTGAATACAAACTACCAACTAGCACTAATTCGAATAGTCAGAAATTGTATTGTTACAAAAACTTATTGCAGGAAGAGTATTCCATCATTCCATGGCAGTTCGTATTAAAAATACGAATCACGAAAAATGCTTCGTGCGAGTTTGTGAAATTTCAATGACCTGAGAATTCAGCTCCAGTATTTGGTCATACAAACCAATACTCATGAATACAAATGAAAAAAACAAAACAACAGAATTGTAGAAGCATAACTAATATAAAATTTTGCATGTCTTCATATAAGACGGATTGTATGGAACCATATGTACTTTATAACATCTGTGCACACCACATTTCTCGCAAAATAAAATCATTTCGAATATTCATGAGTATTGGTACCACCACCACCGCCACTAAGTAAAACTAAACCACTATACCACATATTTGCAGAACATACCGTACCATGTACGCCCATGACGACACGTTCCGGCTGGTGTACAGTCGCGGCCACACCAACATGTCCACGTACACCCTCGGCCTCGCCGGCGGCTTCTTCACATATTACTTGCAAACGGAGAAGAAAAGCGTGAAGGATTATAGTGTAAGTATAGCTTTACATTTAGTTAATATGAATTGCTTATTAGCAGTTATTTGTTTAGCTTACGAACATTCCGCACCGGATATGTCCTCAGATTTCGGATTTAGATTCGGTCGTCCGCCAGAAAGTCCTCAGAAAGTCTTTTCACTCTACCAGCCGCTATTGCCAAAAAGGTAGTGTGAGAATGATGGCGCTGCGAATTCCCGAGGGTAATACTGTCAGAGCTCCCAATTAGATTTCTTTATTCAAATAAACTAATGCGACAATAGTCTATTTTTTCCGTCAATCACAAGAAGAACGAGCAAGAAACTTGCGTGTTGCTCTTTTAAATAATTTTATTATTACTTTACATTTTTAAGTTTAAGTGTGTGAATACAAACCACCAATTAGCACTAATTCAATTAAATACTCAAAAAGAAAAAAAATATTGAATACATAACCAACTGGTTAAACAATTAATAAGAGGAAATCAGTCATAGTGATTAGAAATGAGAAAATAAAATTATAACGTTGTATGCTAATAAACTAATTATTTACTTGATATGTTGTCATCTATGAATTCGTCTATCCTGTAATAGGCTTTCTTACATAAAAATTGTTTAATATAAGATTTCAATTGCCTCTCTGTCAGATTTAATGCAGATTCTGGCAGTTTATTATAAAATCTTATGCAATTACCATAGAATGAATTACTGATTTTGTGCAGATGACATTTAGGTAAAATAAGCTTATTTAGATTTCTTACGTTAATGCGACATACTATTTCTTCCGTCAATACACCAATGGTTAAGTCATAATAATAGGTACCCCTTAAACTCCTATGGATACCATAGGAGTTTTAGGAGTTGAGTGTATACACTCAATTTCTAGACTGAAACCTGAGGACTGAGGTGCTAGACTGAAACCTTTAAGGGGCGTATACGCCCCTTTAGGATTTAAGGTTAGCACCTACTTCGTCGAGAACCTGGGAGCTTGAAATGATAGATGCGTGAGAGACAGAATAAAAGTGTTTTAGAAAATATGCTGCTACATACAGTAGTTTATTACTAATAAGTACTATTGACTACATTGCTAGCAATGGCAGGTTTACAATAGGTTTTCATACAATCTGCTTTGAAATTACCATGGTTTCTTAATGGAGAATTAGCAATTATGTCCAACATGTCGTGACATCGTTGTCGTTCTGTCATCCTTCGCTGGTGTCCCGCCATCGTAGGATGTAGCATAACCACCCATTAAAAGTATATATTTGATGAATATATTTTTATAAAATTAAATTTAAATTTGACGTCTCCAAGTCTAAGGCCTCCCTCAGGGCTCGTAACTCGGTCCTATACACATATAGACTAACATTTGACTGGGTTTGATAATGGTGTTTCCGTCATCGGGGAGTCCATCAAAAATGTAAATTCACACTTTTTTTTGTTTCGCACAGCTTTTATCTATAACCGTTTGAGTATAATTCAGGGTTGTAAAACACTAAGCAATGACGCTCTCTTTTACAGAAATTCCGAGTGCTCATATGGCTTACAGTGCCTCTGTGTGTTGCGGTGATAATGACAGGAAGCTTCTTTTACGAGGATGGTCACCCACAGCCTACCGTCGTCACTGTCCTGTACGCCACATTCTACAAGCTCGTCTTTCAAATACTTATGACATCTTTCATTATTGGCTGCATTCTTAAAGTTGAAAGTAAGTGCCATTCTATTCGTCACTACATCATTTATGTTTTATACACATTGTATGTGTAAATCTATACATCTAAACATATAAATAAAATTGGAGTGTCTGTTTGTAATATTGAAATAACCGTTTTTTATTACATGCATATGAATAAATACGGTACATACACCAACATAACAATTTTTACAATTTTGGTCTGTCTGTCTGTCTGTCTGTTTGTTCCGGCTAATCTAAACGATTTTGACGGGACTTTTTTTGGCAGGTAGCTGATGTAATAAGGAGTAACTTAGGCTACTTTTAATGTAAAAAACAAAGTTACATTCCACGCAAACGAAGTCGCGAAGCCTAGCAGTCTCAATATATAAAAATTACGTGTCACGTCCGCTATGGTCTAAACTACTGAACCGATTGCAAATTTGATTTGCACATTGTGTGCAATTTGATCCAACTTGAAAGATAGGATAGCTTAAATCTCAATTTATAGTCGCAATAATATTTTATACAAGAACTTTAGTCTAGCCGGGTCTGCTAGTAGAAATATAAGCTTTATTGAAATACACTTAACCAATAACAGAGCTGGTGCGGCATGTGAAGCGGCTGAAAAAGCCAAAACATGTAAATACAGGGGTCTAGGCTCCGAATATGATTTTGGTGTCGAGACTCTTAGTCCGTGGGGTCCTAGCGCTATAAGACTTTTCAAAGAAATAACGAAAAGGTTAGTCGACATCACAGAAGACCGAAGAGCTGGCAGCTGCCTCGGACAAAGAATTAGTTTAGCTATTCAAAGAGGGAACGCTGCCAGTATCTTCGGAACGTTGCCTAAAGGGACCCCTTTTAATAATATATTTTAGTCATCATATTATTATTTTTTAAGCTTTTTAATTTTAGGTTCTTAGTTGTACAATTAGATTATGTAAATAATAAATTAATATATTTATAAGAGATAAACTGTTGTCTGCGTCTTAACATAGGCAATTTTGTAACTTCAATTCCCGTTACAAATGAGAGGGGATCGATCGGAGCATCGAACTATTTAAAACCTAACAATACATACCTAAATATTCTTTTTAAATAAATGTTGTATCGTAAACCTGTACAACATTTATTTGAAAAGAGTACGAGCAGAGTTTCTTGTCAGTTCTTCTCATCTCGAAATCACTCCGAACTAACAGTAGATTTAACTTATCATAAGAGTCTGAAATAGACCTACATGAATAAAGATATTTTGCATTTTGAATTTTATTTGTTTTCTGCAGCGGTATATCGCGGTATAGTGGAATGGCGTGGCTTCACCTGGTGCGGCCGAGTGTCCTATATTTCCTTCTTCATTCACACAATGTTCCAGCGAGCATACCTCGGTCTCCAAACCACGCCTTATTACATGTCTGCATTCAATATCGTAAGTATATATTGTATTTTGAGGACATACATAAATCACACATTATACGCATTTTCATGAAGTTTGACACCACAAACAAACCGGAAGTGTGTAATATTACAGACTACACCCACATCAGGTATAACCACAGATAAGATATTACACACTTACAATAATATTTTTTCCGGAAACTGTTCGTCTGTACATAAATTCATTTTGAAGGTTTCACCCTCATTAGCAATCCAGAAAAATACAAATATGTTACATCCAGATCATTTTTGTATAATACCATTTTAACACTACGTGCAATTGCCAAATGGGACTCCTTTTAATAATATATTTTAGTTATTGTATTATATTTTTTAATCCTACCTATTATATATAGATATAGAATAAGTATTCTTTAAATTATGTATTTTAGAAAGATTAAATAAAATGTTAAATCAATATTTTTTTGTTATAGTAACATTATTGCAATAATTGCATAGTGTTTATTTCATATTTTTTAAGGCATGATAATGTAATAATACACCCTCTATACTAACGATATCTCCTGCTGGGGTATATCTATATCTATAATAAAAGATGATATGATAAGTGTGAGGTCAAGTCACTAGACTATCATACCAAATTCGATAGAAATTAACAACGATGGTCTCCAGGGGAAACCGCAAGAAAGTCGACCAGACATGGTACATTGTCAGCAAAGAGATCAATTTAACATTACTAACAATCCGCTTTCATACCGAAGTTTATCAAGCTGAAGAGTAGTCACACTTCTACATTTGCTGGACAGAGCAAAGCCACACTAATACTCACTGAACAACGACCATGCATGGCAATAGTTGTTCATGCACAGGATTTTCATTTAATGTTAGACATAGACACCTATATAAATATACATTATAAATACTCTGCTTTTAAAAAAAAAAATTCAATTGAGTTTCTTGCAAGTTCTTCTAAATTAGATAATACTGAACTAGACGGTAGGGAAAAGTTATAATTATAAAAAAATATTGACGTTCATAAGCGGCTAATATGTTCTATATTATATGTTCTATAAATCTTACGGCAAAGTAGTTGTACTACTATGTACTATATATTTAATGTTTATATTTATTAATGTTATTTTATTCTATTTTGTTATCTCTAGTATATGTAATTGGTTTGTATTTATTAGTTGTAATTTTGTTTTAATTATTATCATTAATATTTTAAATAGTGCCCTCTCTCTCCCCCCCTTTTATATATATATTTTTGGTGCCACTGAAAACCAGCTGTATGTTCACCTAGGACATACATTAAAGCTGAGTGGAGCCATTTCTGTGCATTATTGGATGTAAAAAATGTTTATTTTATGTTTATTTTCAATTATGGTAAATTAAGTTTAATTATATGTACATTTTATTTGCTCGTTTTTTCGTTTGTTGTTTATATTGTATTTTTTACATTGCACTGAATAAAATATTTTTCTTTCTTTCTTTCTTATATCAATAAATGATTTTTTCATTTGAATTTGTCTTTATTCCAGGCTAATCTATTGCTAGCAACAGTAGTCGTATCATTTATCGTCGCCGCAATACTGTGGATCCTAATAGAAGCACCAATAGCTGCTATCACCAAAGCAATACTACAACCGCAATCGTCACGGCCTAAATCAACACCGGCCCAAACATCACCATCTCTCTCATCACCACCTACATCATCACCGCCTACATCATCACCGGGCCTACCATCAGCGCCTCAAGAACAGAACGGTCAAGTTTAATATATGTATATACTTGTAATTAAAATAAAAAACGTAATTAGTCATATAATACCAAAATTTTAATGTTAACCGAATGTACATAAAATCGAAAATAAACGTAAATAAAACTAAATATATATGGTATTTAATTTTTGATTCCTTAATTTCATCTATTTTGTATTTTTCGAAATACAACTTAAATAAAAAACACAAAAAATTCTTCAGACTTTTTAGCGTATTTCAGTATGTTAGCCCTGATACATCCTTAAGTTTCCTAATTATTGGTCTCTCAATAATATTTGTACCTACTCGTTCACGATGAGAGGAACGAGAAATAATAATGTTTAAAGATGGAAGAAATGAAGATTTCTACCTTGACGAACCTGCCATCACCAAGGCAATACTGCAACAGCAATCGTCACGGCCTAAATCAACACCGGCCCAAACATCACCATCTCTCTCATCATCTACCTGCATCATCACCGCCTACATCATCACCGGGTCTACCATCTGCGCCTCAAGAACAGAACGGCAACTTTAATATATGTATATACTTGTAATTAAAAAAATATAGTAATTAGTCATATAATACAAAATTTTAGTGTTAACTAAATGTATATAAAATCAAAAATAAACGTAAATATAACTAAATATGGTATTTATTTTTTTGTTCACAATTTTGTTTGTTTAGTATTTTAATGAGTTTTTAGCGTATTTCAGTATATTAGCCCTGTTGTCCTGTTGTGTGTATGTCCCTGAGTTTCCTAATTATTATAGAAAGAAAAATAATAATGTTGAGATATAGTATTACGTAGATATACAATATATATATATGATAGATGAGGTATAGCATAGAGATATAGTAAAGGTATCTGTAACATAATAAATAAAGAATGACAACCCACACAGCGCCATCTAGTACCAAGCTAAGCAGAGCTTGTCTTATGGGTACTAGATAACGGTATATCCATTATCTAGTACCCATAATACTTAAATATATTTTTTTTAAAATACATACATAATTTACATATAAAACACCCAGGACAGTACAAGCAATCATACTCATAAATACAAATGTATGCACCATGTGAGATAAGTGTTATGTGGGAATGAAACACGCAACCATCGGACATGAGATGCTGTCCTTAACCGCTAGACTACCGAGGCCGTCAATTCAGTGCAACAATATATTTTGTACATCTTCATTCATTCACAGTTACGTGTCCACACTTTAGAAGCTGTGTTGAGAAATGGTAATAGATATGCATCTGTTGCAGTACCACGCAAACGGCAGTAGCTAATGAACGGTCACCATGTCTCGTCTTATAAAAAACAAGATCAATGGTAGCACGATTTCATAATATCACTCTTCATATACCGAGACAGACTCGTTCCCATATAAAAACACATATGAAATTTACATTTATATCTAATACAATTTATTTAAATTTAATTTATTTAATGAAATTCTTAATATTTATTAAATTCATAATTAAAATAAATGTGTAGGTAATATATGTAGAAGTTATAATATATGAAGAGAAATATATGTAGAATTTGAACGCTGTAAAATGAGTGTGTTAGTGTTATTAATTTTGTGCATTATTAAGGGAACTACTGGTGTTATATACAGATTGAATGGTAAGTATATATATGTAAATATCTTTAACATTATAAATTCAGTAAAAAATAAGAACAGTCATGAATAGTAATATTATGCAAGGATTGAACCCGGACCATATGAAGATGAGGTAGGGCTAAACCGCTAGACCACTAGTCTAAACTTTGTCATTATCAAAATTTATTAGACAGACAATATATGTACAATTAATTTATAAGAGAACTAACGATCTTTAACTTAAAGCACAGATGGTGAATTAGATATCTGTAACAATACATGTTCACAAATAATCAAATTATGTTTATATAAAATTGACTTCTAGAAGAAAAAAAAATACAAAAGAATTACAGTTACTTTTCTTCCAGATTCTTCTTAACTGAAGTTTAATATAATTAAATATTCGTTTATATGTAAATAAAAATAAATGTAATTGTAATGAGTTAAACTAGATGTAAATAAAACAAAATAATTTCAAAGAATACAGACCTATAGGTATATTTAAAATTAATTTATACTTATGAACTAGTAGAGAATCAAAATGACAATATCTTTATACATGTAGGTTTATTACAGACTCTTATGATATCATATAATACATTAGGTGTACCTTCCCAGGGTGCATTATTTACTATTTATCAGGATATTTTTGGTACACAAAAAAAAAGAAAATAAGAACATAAAGCCTAGCCTTGCCTTGCCAAGTTTTTACTTTCATTGCCGTTTACCACGCAATCCAAACCTGATATTACAAACGCGAAAGCTATGTTTATGGATGGATCGAAGTTCCCACGCGGTTTCCTTTGAAAACCATGATATTTTGAACAATTGTCCTCAGCATTACCTATGGTTGACTGGTAGAATACCGCATGGTGTTAAGTCCGCCAAATGTGCTTTTTTTTTTATTAAATGTTGAGGGTTTATTCCGGAGAATATGCCACCCGCATAGACGATACATAATATCTAAATTATGATACGTTTCTTTGTTTAATACCAACATTGACTATATTAGACGACTATACCAGGGCGGTATGATATAACTTGTTTTGTGAGCCACTAACCATTGAGTGTTATGAATTTGACGCAGAAATATAGGTGAGGGTCGCGTAAACAAACGTAAACAGTTACCTAATCAGTTACGAACTTGGATACCAAAGAAATTTAGAGTTGGAAGCCTTGGAGGGGCAGTGTTGCGACAACTCTGGGGTTTTTGTTGTGGTAAAGATGCGATCTAATCTGGTTCTAACTCACTCACTCACTCACTCACTCACTCACTCTAACTAACTCTAAACTAGCGGGAAACTTATTGAAATATTACATAACACTAGCAGTTCCCGCGACTTCGTCCGCGTGGAATTTTATTTTATTTTTCTAAAATTAAGACTTTTTCTAAAATAAAAATAGCCTAAGTCACTTCTTATTACATCAGCTACCTGCCAAAAAAGTCCCGTCAAAATCGGTCCAGCCATTTCAGAGACATGCCGGAACAAACAGACGTGTAAAAAATGTTATTTTGGTATATGTACCGTATTTATATTCACATACATGTAGTGAAAAACGGTTATTTCAATATTACAAACACACACTCCAAATTTATTTATATGTATAAATGAACAGCATTGGCATTATGCATGAGCAGCCAAAACACATCTTTTAAAACTGTGGTAAGATGGCGCTGTGTGAATTATCCCGAGGTATTATCATTATATAATAATAAGGGCAATGGAAGGCCAAAAAAAAGATGGATGGACTGTGTGAAAGATGATATGGTAAGAAAGGAAGTTAATAACGCGATGACTGCGAACAGGAGATGAATGGAAGTGAAAAACATATTACGACGACCACAAATAAATGGGAAAAGGAAGAAGCAGATGATGATTATCATTATATAATCTAAAAAATTTTGCGATGTATCACTGTATACAACTACTACAAATATAGTCAAAATAAACAAACCTGGACAATTAACACAACGCCATCTAGTCCCACGGTAAGCAGAGCTTATGTTATGGGTACTACACAACTGATATAAATCTTAATAATATAATATTATTATATAAACACGAAAGTTTGTGAGCATGGATGTTTGTTACTCTTTCACGCAAAAACTACAGAACGGATTTTGATGAAACTTTACAGTAATATAGCTTATACATCAGAATAACACATAGACTATATTTTTTATTGAAATTTAACGTTGAAACTTAGATATTTTTTATTTTAAATACATACATACGTAATGTACATAGGAAACAAAAAATAAACTATAATATTTTATTACAGAGCATGATTTCAATCGTATGCCACCTATATACCGCATGGACTCCTATGAACCGTGTCTCCAGAAACCTGGTGGACTGTACTGCTCAGTGGACTTGACATTAGTAGCTGATGAGCCTAGCGACCTGCTCACTATGATTCAGGTATACTTGTTACTAATATTATAAATATGAAAGTTTGTCAGTATAGATGGATGTTTGTTACACTTTCAAGCAAAAACTATTTATCGGATTTTGGTGAAACTTTACAGTAATAATAAAATATGGTCGAGCGCAGTGATGGCTGACTCATCCGTTATACCCGTGAACGGCTGCTTGTAGGGACTGGTCTGCTCTAATCACTATGACTGATTTCCTCTTATCAATTGTTTAACCAGTTGGTTATATATTCAATATTTTTTCTATTTGAATATTTAATTGAATTAGTGCTAATTGGTGGTTTGTATTCACACACTTAAACTTAAAAATGTAAAGTAATAATACATTATTTAAAAGAGCAACACACAAGTTTCTTGCTCGTTCTTCTTGTGATGAGACAGCTTTCCGAATGAGCGGTAGATTAAAAAAATCTAATGACTATTCAAAAGTGCTTCAATGTAAGTTTATTTGAATAAATGATTTTCTATTCTATTCTATTCTATTCTATTCTATAGGTTATAAAATTCATTCGCGTGAAACTGTGTGAGTACAGATGGATGGTTGTTACATTTTCACGCAAAAACTATTGAACTGATTTTGGTGAAACTTTACAGTAATATAGCTTTTAAATTAGAATAATACATCCTTACTAATATTATAAATGCAAAAGTAACTCTGTCTGTCTGTCTGTCTGTCTCGCTTTCACGTCAAAACTACTGAACCAATTTAAATGAAATTTGGTACACAGATAGTCTAGACCCTGAGAAAGGACATAGGCTACTTTTTAATGCGAATAAAGGGTTGTAAGCTTACTTTTAGGCTGTTCATTAAATACTACAAATAAGTTTGTAAAATTGTTACCCTTAAGGAGATGAACGGTTATATGGAAGTATCGTCATTTTTAAAACTAGAATTTTGAAACTTATTTTTAGGCTGTTCATTAAATACTACAAATAAGTTTGTAAAATTGTTACCCTTAAGGGGAT